AGTGACTTTAATTAAATTTGTCAGTGATATTAAAAGATGGCAAGAGCCACTGCTGAGGACACAGACACCTTGCAGATGGCCCCAGGGGCGTTAGGAAAATAACCCAGGAAAGAGACCAGAGGTCATGGGCTGAGCCAGGGCACATTTAGCTGAGGGAGAGGAATGTGGGGTAGAGGAGAGGGGGCAGGGTCCTCCTTTGCAGAACCTACCCTAGGCCCTTTCTATCTGCATCTGTTCTGTTTGCAGTCAATTTCTAGCTGATCTTCCTGCTCCAGCCTTGTCCTCCTTACAGCCACCCTAAACCTTTAGCGAAATTGGTTTTGCTGAAACAAATCAGACAATGTCATCCTCCTATTTAAAATCCCACCATTGGCTTTTCACTGCCCTTAGGATAAAATCCCATATTCTCAGCCTGGCGTAGAAGGCTTGGCATGAATTCTAACCTACCACCCAGCCTCATCTTCTGACTCTCTCCCTCACTCTGACTTCCTTGTAATCCCATGCACAGGGGGCTTTTTCATGTCTCCATGTCTTTGCTTGAGCTGTTCTCTTTGACTTGAATGCCCTTCTCACTTTCCTTTTCTCTCTCTCTCTCTTTTTGACTAAAGCTCACTCATGCTTGAAGACTCATTTCAGGGATCACCTCCTTCAGAACGCCTCCCTGAATCCCTAAACTGGCTCAGTGCCCTCCTCACATTCCCACAGCATTCTGCCCTCACCTCCATTTTTTATAGTAAAACTACCTATTTTTTCATCTCCCCATCCCTGCTTGATTGTACCTTTGTGGGCAAACACTCTCTCATTTTATATTTCACCCAGTGTTGTACCAAGCCTGGCAAATGACAGGCTTTTTTCAATATTTGTCAAACCAAGCTGATGAGAAGAAGAATATTTCAGTGGGAGATGACAGCAGGCAGCTGGAACAGCCCTGGAAAGCCTGAGGCCTGTGCAACCCTGGCAAATGGCAAGTCTGTCCTGTCTGGGCTGTAGACCCTGTAGAGGGTCACAGTGCTTCTCCACCAGACCAGAAGCTGATTAGGAGCCAAGGGTGTTCTGTGACACAGTGGGGCAGTTGGGTAAAGCTGAATGGCCAAAGCCATACATAGGTCATCTGTGTGTGAGTTAGGGTTCTGCTACTTCCTTGCCTTATACTTTGACTAGATGACTTAAGACTCACTTTCCCAAAACGTGAAATAAGGATAAAAACACTACCAACCTCTCAGGGTTGTTATGAAAATTAAAATTAGCATTGTGCATACAGTAAGCACTTATACCATGTTTACAACAGTACAATTTATCACAGCTAAATATGGGAAGTGGCCTAAATGTCCATCAACAAATGAAAGGATTGAAAAATGTGGTATTAACACACAACGGAGCAGACTCTGCCCTAAAGAAGGATGAATCCAAGTCATTTGTAGGAAAATGAATGCAGCTTGAGTCAAGAATGTTAAGTGAAATCAATCAGTCATACAAACTTAAATATCACATGGTTTGTCTTATATGAGAAAACTCAAGTATAAATTATTTAAAGAGGAAAATACAAGGTAGATAACAGGAAACAGGGAGATGGATGTTTTGCTATTGGGAAAGGGACCAAGACATGGAGGCAGAGGGTACCGTAGGGAGGGCAAGGGGAAATCAAGAGAATTAAGATGTGTTATGTACACATATCAATGCCTCATGATAAATAAAAATAAACTACATAAGCATGATAGCAGTTAATTACAATGGTTAATATCCTTATCATCTGAGGTGCTCTTGGGGACGTCTCGCACTGAGTCATATACCTAAGTCTGAAGAAACTGAAAGGAGGCTGAGAGCTGTCTCAGTCGGTGTCTTGGCCTTGAAAAATGGCGCGGAAAATCAGATGAGATCGGGTGCGTTCAGGGTGGTATGGCCATAGACAGATGGCACAAGAAAATGACCATTGGCTTGGTCATCAGAGATAACGCCTCTCCCTCTACATCTCAGCCAGAAACCATTTCCTGGCAGGGCTAGAAAGAACCACTAGGAATCACAGAGTGTTTTCCACCTTCCACTCCAAAACAGGTATTTATGAGCTGTCTTACTTTCTTCCTTTGTTTTCTTTCATTCTTTCTTTCAACTCATTAGTTTTCTCAGTGAACTGGCCCTTGTTTTTGACCGCATGATAGCATGTTCCCCCTAAAAACCTGTCGCCGCAAAGTGTCCACAAGGCCAAGTGAGGAGAAAGACCATGATCTTTTTTAATTCTCCCGGTATGTAAGATAAATAGGAGTCTGCGCCCCTGTTAATCAGGATAACTTGACCACTGCAGTGCTCCATGTCCTGTCACTCCCTCCCTTCACTCAGCCCCTTGGGGCGGCTACCTCCTGTTCCCATGTTGGCTCATAATTAAAGAGCTGCTCCAGCTGTGCCCGTCTTCTGTCCCTTCCTGCATGGGTCTTATCAGAATCCACAATGTGTCAGAATCCACATAGCGGCCGGACTTTCAGAAGTCAAGGCAAGAAGCCAAGATTCTTCCTTGTCCATGTTTCTCCGGGGTGAATGTGTGTCAAACGCACTAATGGGGGTCTTTGTGCACATCATGTTGTGAGCGCTTTCTCAGCCTTTGGATATGGGTGCCGAACATCTCCCACCACCATGCTGTTCCCCAGTCATCCTCAAGGCCTCTTCTCTGAGTCAAAGGCAGAGGCCCCAAGCACCTGTTTTGCTGGCTCCCAGGACCTGAACTAATGAGGAATATGAGTCTCAGCACTTGGATGCCATTCTGGGGAACCTGAAACCAAGTTGATCCACAGCTTTTTGGAAGGAAGGCCTTGATGGTTACAGTATACAGCCTGACTCACTGTGTCCTGAAGAGAATTTCTCTGTGAGAACAACTTTGGGAATTTAAAGAGGTCCTACATAGACTCAGAAATCTAGTTGAGATTTCTCAATGAGACCTATATGTATTTCCAGAGCAAATGGCTACAATGTAGATTATAAATGGTTTTCGATAAGGTTGAAGTCTCAAGAAACTTCCTTGGTGGTTACATTTGTTCATTCCAAAAGCATACATTTACTGAGCATAATAACTACCTGCTTAGGATACCATTATAAACAGGAGAGACACACTCCTTGCTCTTATGTCGTTGATAGTGCAATAGATGAGTAAGATATAACTAATTTAATATTACTAATAAGCGTGTAATTTTAAAGTTTTTAAAATGCTATGAAGGAAAACTAGAGTACAATAAGAAGATATAACAAAAGGGAGTTGACACATTTTAGGAGTGAGTGCAAGTTTGTTTTGTTTTGTTTTGTTTTTGAGGAAGTGACACTTAAGCCAAGGTCTAAAGTATTATTATGAATGAGGTGTACCAAGATGAAATATTCATTTCAGTTACCCATAACAGCACATGCAACAGTCCTGAGATAGATGGTAAGTAGGGGGCAGAAACAAAGGGCATTATTGTTGAAATGTAGTGAGAGAATGTGACAGAGAATGAAGTATGAGGAGAAGAAAGCATGCAATTTGCAGAAACTTTGAATGACATGGTAGGGAATATAATTTTTATATCAAGAGCAAAACTACTAAAGACCTTCAGAGAGGGGAGTGATATGCTTAAGTTGTTTTTTTTTTAAACATCACTGTGTCTGTATGAAGAAAGTGGAATTGAGACTCCACTCTCTTGCACAAGTTGAAGTGGAGAATTCAGTTAGGAAACCACTCTAGCCAGTTCCTCTGGGCTGCAATGGTGGTGGGAGAGATGGAGAGAGAATTGACAAGATTTAGTGCTCGACTGGCTGGGGGACAGGGGGGAGAGGAAAGAGAGTCTGCAGATTAACATCTGTTTTCTAGTGTGAGTAGCTGGCTATGTGGAGGTGCTATTTTCAGAGACAGGAAAATGGAGCAAATATGGAAGATGGACTTTGAATCCCTTAAGGTATGTTACAAATGCAAATCAGCATCTTTCTATTACTAGAGAAACCCCACCTGGTTGCAACAGAGGAGAATACTGCATAGGTTTCTTTTTAAAGCTATTGCATGGTTATTTTCATTTTTACTCTATCTAAATGAGGCAATGAATAGAAAGATTCCTCTTTCCACGCATTTGCTCCATTGAAAGTAGTTTCAATTGAGTTTCTTCCTGTTCTTCTGAATTCACACTCACCTTTCAATGATTTGAGTCCAACAGAGGAGGCTGCATTTTACCCCCCAAATCTCCAGTTTAAAAAAAATTGAGAGATATTTGTATGTTTTATTAATGACAATTTCTATCATTTCACCCTTTGCATATTTGGCTTTGGAATTTAAGTGACTGATTGATCTTTATCTTCCTGTACCTGGCAGCCTAACCTGTTCATAAGCATGTTGTACTGGACAGTGAAGAGCTGCTGTGGACTGGGTCTTTGGCACACTTTACAGGGCTTCAGGTTAGCCATAGTGCAGGTAGCAGACACTGTGAGTCAACAAGAAATCTCAGAATTATAGCTTGCCTCCAAAAGTCTTGTATTTGGGGAAGGAGTTCTTACTGAAGAGACCTCAATTACACACACAGCAAGGTATTCTATTTTGGGGGACTGATCTATGAAAATTCAATTCACTATGTACTCTTAAAAACCTATATTATGCAAGATTCTTGAGTAAATAATGACAACAGGGTAAGGAAGGCTGAAAACTCTAGAAACAGCATAAGTGAGGACAAAGGCTCAGGTCATAGGCTTTCTATTTTTAAGTTGATTCCAGGTAACAGTGGGACTGGAAGATAGGATTAGAAGGTTATCACTTGGGTTCCCATCACTAATATTCCCATCGATTTCAAGCCGTTTTTCAGCTGAGTCTCCACCAGATGGTTTTGAGGACAGAGAGCTATTTGTGCCTCCCATTGACATCTATTTTTCCAAGTGAGAGATTGCCCCATATGTGAGTGCAATATGTCACTCAGGGTGATGCATCCGTTTGTGTCGGTGGGAGCCTGCTGCTTGCTGCCCCCTGTCCTCATGCCTTTTCCTGCCTCTCTGATCTTTTCTAGGTCTCTGGCCTGTCAGGAGGACCATTGGTGCTGTGGTGGAAGCCAGCGTCTAAGTCTTGTGTATGGCGTGGTTAAGGTTGCAGCCTCTCACCTCTGCCTTCCTCCATTTCGGGCTGGTTACTTTTGTGCTCTTCCTGAATGGTCTTCGGGCAGAGGCTGGTAGCTCAAGAGATGTGCCCAGCACAGGGCAGAACAATGAGTCCTGCTCAGGGTCATCAGACTGCAAAGAGGGCGTCATCCTACCAATCTGGTATCCAGAGAACCCTTCCCTTGGGGACAAGATTGCCAGGGTCATTGTCTATTTTGTGGCCCTAATATACATGTTCCTTGGGGTGTCTATCATTGCTGACCGCTTCATGGCATCTATTGAAGTCATCACCTCTCAAGAGAGGGAGGTGACTATCAAAAAGCCCAATGGAGAGACCAGCACGACCACAATTCGAGTCTGGAATGAAACTGTCTCCAATCTGACCCTGATGGCCCTGGGTTCCTCTGCTCCTGAGATTCTCCTCTCTTTAATCGAGGTATGTGGTCATGGGTTCATGGCTGGTGACCTGGGGCCTTCTACCATTGTAGGCAGTGCAGCCTTCAACATGTTCATCATCATCGGCCTCTGCATCTATGTGATCCCTGATGGAGAGACTCGAAAGATCAAGCACCTACGGGTTTTCTTTGTCACTGCTGCTTGGAGTATCTTTGCCTACATCTGGCTCTATATGATCCTGGCAGTCTTCTCTCCTGGTGTGGTGCAAGTTTGGGAAGGCCTCCTCACTCTCTTCTTCTTTCCAGTGTGTGTCCTTTTGGCCTGGGTGGCAGATAAACGACTGCTCTTCTACAAATACATGCACAAAAAATACCGCACAGATAAGCACCGAGGAATTATCATAGAGACAGAGGGTGAGCACCCAAAGGGCATCGAGATGGATGGGAAAATGATGAATTCCCACTTCCTAGATGGAAATCTGGTGCCTCTAGAGGGGAAGGAGGTAGATGAGTCCCGCAGGGAGATGATCCGGATTCTCAAGGACCTGAAACAAAAACATCCAGAGAAGGACCTAGATCAGCTGGTGGAGATGGCCAATTACTATGCTCTTTCCCACCAACAGAAGAGCCGCGCCTTCTACCGAATCCAGGCCACTCGCATGATGACTGGGGCAGGCAATATCCTGAAGAAACACGCAGCAGAACAAGCCAAGAAAACCTCCGGCCTGAGCGAGGCCCACACTGAAGAGCCTGAGGACTTCGTCTCTAAGGTCTTCTTTGACCCATGTTCTTACCAGTGCCTGGAGAACTGTGGTGCTGTCCTGCTGACGGTGGTGAGGCAAGGGGGAGACCTGTCTAAGGCAGTGTCTGTGGACTACAAAACAGAGGATGGGTCTGCCAACGCAGGGGCTGACTATGAGTTCACTGAGGGCACCGTGGTCCTGAAACCAGGAGAGACCCAGAAAGAATTCTCTGTGGGGATCATTGATGATGACATTTTTGAGGAGGATGAGCACTTCTTTGTGCGGCTAAGCAATGTACGTATAGAAGAGGAGCACCAGGAGGAAGGAATGCCTCCAATACTCAACAATCTTCTGTTGCCTCGGGCTGTCCTGGTACCTCCATGTTTGGCCACGGTTACTATCTTGGATGATGACCATGCAGGCATCTTCACTTTTGAATGTGATACCATTCGTGTCAGTGAAAGTACTGGCATTATGGAGGTCAAGGTTCTGCGGACATCAGGCGCCCGGGGCACAGTTATTGTCCCCTTTAGGACAGTAGAAGGGACAGCCAAGGGTGGCGGTGAAGACTTTGAAGACACATACGGGGAGTTGGAATTCAAGAACGATGAAACAGTGTAAGTAACCTTTCCATATTCTAGCCCTCCCCACCCTGTTCCTTGCCATCTTTTTCCGTCCTTCTGTACTGCTCTATAATCCTGTTCCTTGTGTTTGTGTTAATGTCAAACTTTGGTTCCACCACAGGCATGCAGGATCAGCAGATACTGGACAGGTCCTGCTTCCACACTCCTTCAGTTGTTTCACTTTAAGTTACTTCCAGACAAGGAATTCTGGGGCAAGATCTAAGGACACACAACATTTTGTCCATCAAAACTGAAAAGGATGGCTGGTAGAGGTATAGGATGACAGAAGTTTGGTAATAATCAGATTTTGGAGAGTTCTTGGGACTAAGCAAGAGCTAGGAAACTGGTTGGGGCTCTCCCTCCCCCCATTTCATACTAATGGCTTATCAGTTTTGAAGTCTGCCTTTATAGTCCAAGGATAGTAATAACCCAACCAGAATATCTGTATTAAGAAAGCCAGTAGCAAAGCCAAGGAATAGTGGAGCACACCTATAATCCCAGCACTCAGAAAGCTGAGGCAGGAGGATCATCATGAGTTCAAGGCCAGCCTGAACTACATAATGAGACTCTGTCTCCAAAAACCAAAAATGAATGAGTGAATGAATGAATGAATGAAGGCAAGCAAGTGGCCCTGACTCCCCCATTGCGGTTGTATTGCATAGTCAGATTTGGGGCGTCTCTTTTGCAATTTCAAAATTGAAAAATTGACTGAAACTTGGCAGTCTCTTTAAACCATCTCTAGGCTATTTGTTTTTTTAGCAAGGCACACCTAGCTTAGGTAAGATAACTCAGTATGACTTGGGTACTGGTGGTATCTTGGAGAAGCAGAGCTCCCAAGGGGTGCAGCCACCTGTCTCTAGTCTCAAGTCTAAGCTCCAAAACCTGCCTATGCAATGGAGCAGGAGGCTATTAAGAATTATTAGAGAAAATATATCTTCTGTATGGTCATCTCTTTATAGTGTAGGCCTTGTCAGAAACACTTCTCGAGTTATTGCTCCACTCAGAACTGCCAGTACTGTACTTCTATTGCTTATATCACCCTAAGGCCTCTCTCCATCAAGACAGATACAGATTGGGCATCTGTCCTTTTCTCAGATGAATTGCTTTGAAAAAGAAAGCAGAATGGATTTCTCCAGAATTTGCAGGTTAGAGCAGGGTGGCTTAGAAGGATGGAAATGCATAGGGGGAAGCAGTCTCTGAATTCCTGCTCCTGTCCACAAGCAATAGCAGGAGCAGGAGATGGCATGAAGAATAAAAGGGGGCATCTTTTTATTCCACTCCAAGACCCTGCTAATTATACAACAGCCAATCAAATAATATGGTGTGTTTGAGGAAAAAAATTACAGTCAAGACATATTGTCATCAATCTTCATCACACCTCCGCCACTTCGAACACACTTGCTCATTGTTCTCGCCAGTTTCTGAGGCAGTTCTGGACATCCTCTTTTGTGAGTGTTTTTATGAGGTATAATAAAAAATACAGTGAATGCGGTTGCTACATAACATGCAACAGAAAGTCAGCTCATAAAAACATTATGGTGTGTTCTCATCTACCTTATTCCTTGGATCTTACACCATGCAACTTCTGTATCTTTCCTAGAGGCAAAATGACCATGAAAGGTAAATGTTTTGAATTGATTCGGGACATTGAGGCAGCCACAACAGTACAACTAAAGACACTCATGAAAGAGGACTTCCAGAACTGCTTCAGAAAGTGGCAAGAATGATGGAAGAAATGTGTTTGAAGAGACAAGGAGTATTTTGAGGGGAATTAATAGCAGTGTGTCTTTTACTACAATAAAATTTTTTGTAAGTTTAAACATTTACCATATTTTTAGATTACACCTTGTACTTTCAGTGGGAAATGAAGTCATACAGCACTTGTAAAAGGGAGAGAGGGAACTCATAGGAAAGTGCTATCCATAGGCTCCAGGAAAAACTGTTACGGGGTGCTTCCTCCCAGGTTCAGCCATGGATGGGACAGAGCTCAAAAAGGGTTGGGTTCTGCTGGCAACAGAGCTGAGTGACTCTGCCCTGTCCTTACTCAGTCTCTGCCTAATAATGTGACTTGGAGCAAGTCATTTAGTAACTCTGGAGCTAAACGGTCTCATATAAAAAGTGGAAATAACAATACTTTCCTTCCCAGGAGGCAGGGCCAGATCTTTTTGCAGTTCCTTCCAACTCTAGGATTTTCTGAACAGTAGACACAAGCACTCCGTGTAAGTCATATCTGCACTAGCCAAAAATAGAACGGGATATTGTCTCTTGAAGGGAAATAGCCATTGACAAATTGATTTATTAGAGCTCTGTTTAGTCATTTGCTGGGAAAGATAATCATTTGTTAGCCTAAGTAAAAACCTGAGCCTTCCAGAGAATACTATCCATTTATATATGCTCTGGGGAGAGTGTTCATACATACAAATGAAGGCCAGGCCCTCACTGGGAAGATAGACTCCATGAAATTTCACACATGTTTATGATAATATAAGTATGTTAGAGCCTGTTATCAGGCATTAAATGACATCAAGACCACAAAACTTACCATAATTTGACAGCCTTGTCATTGCTCCAATTATGTACTCATCTACCAATGGCAGGGAAGGGTAATTTTGGGAAATCAGAGGTATGGCTCCTAATTTCCTCATTTTATTAATAATCAATTATGCACCAAAGATTTCTAAATATAACTAAACTTTCCTCAAACTCATATGTTTTGTTTGTATAATACCATCATGTAAATGAGCCTGTGAATTATACTTATGGGTGATATTTTTTTCCAAATGTAAGTCAACCTTCAGAAGTTTGAGGCTCTCATCCAGATAGTCCAGGGCAGTGGTGGTGAACCTATGGTATGCTTGTTATTGTGTTTTTCTTTAGGACAAAAGATGTTAATGTGAGTTATTTTTTCTAAACTAAAACTTCAGAATTCAGATTAATTGCAGTGTTGGCACTTTGTGATAAGTAAGTGGGTTTTGGGTTGCCGTTTGGCATTTGGTCTCTAAAATGTTCGCCGTAACTGATCTAGGGTTTGGTGAAGAAATCCACGTTCTCATGTGTTTCTGTGCATTATCTTTTAACTTCAGTGTGGTTTGATCTCTTTGATTTTTCATGTTGCAGAATAATGAGTCCAAAACTTGATAGTCATCCTCATATGGTAACCCTACCCATGACACTTCAAACTATAATTCTACAACTAAAGGCTATACTATGTAGCAGAGGATCCATGGGCTCTAAGTTCTCTAAGTTAGAATTCTGGTTCTACTACTGACTTACCATATGGTTTGGCAAAAATTTTATTAACATATGAGGAAATTTCTTCATCAGTAGAGTGTGGTTAATATCTCTCTTGCTGGGCAGTTATGGTGATTCAAAATATTATATGCAGTGTACCTGGTACATAATATTTGTTCAGTAAATAAGGACTTTAATAGTAATGTTGATGAATTAACAATATTTTCAGAAGACACTGTCAAAGTGATCAGGTTACTTGGATCTCTGTGTGGCTCTAATTAATGAACATGCCAGTTTTCTGGTTACCATGAAGACCCCTAACGTAAACTCATGAAATATTAGGGCCAGTAAGGATCTTTGAATACATTTTAGAGTAGTGTTTTTCAAATGTTCATGTGTTCATCAGTTGCCCAGTTGCTAAAGTAGATTATGATTCCAGAGCTCTAGGGTAAGACTTAAGATTCTACATTTCTAATAGGTTCCTGTTGCTGCAGGTCCCAACTCATAGAGTCAAAAGGCTATTAAGCCTTTGACCAAACCATGGGATGCAGAAAAGAAAGTGGCTTTTTAAATGACTTGCTTAATTGAATTATGAATGCTTGCTTCCTAATTCCAGCTTTCAACCCCAACTAATGAGAATTCAGCTTTTACTGAGCCCCTGCTAATTGCAATACCAATCTGGGAACTGAAATTGAAACCTTTAGGGTCCTTGAACAGAAGCTATGGGATACTTGGAACAATCCTCCTTTCTAATCCCCCCCTCTTTGTGAAGCTTTATCTTTCTACCATGCCTGACAGTATTGTAACTTTTGTCTTCACCCTGGTCCTCTAAATATAATCAAGTAATAGGCTGGCCCTTGTTCTATCAATAATATTTTACTTGTTTGTTTTAATGCTTTACTTCTTCAATAGTGTTCTGTGGAGCATGATAGAATGGAAAACATGAACTTTGGAATCTAACAAACAGATTTGAATCCATCACTTAATAGCTATGTAACTCTGAACAAGTCACATGATTTGCCTGAGCTCCAGATTTTTTGTGGGAATAGGAGAAGTAATATCTATCTGCTAGGGAGTGATAAGTACTGAATACAAATATGAAAAAATGTACCTTTAGCATAATGCCTTCCCATAGAAAGTGTTCAGTAATTCAGCAAACATTTATTCAATATTTACTATGTGCAAAGTACATTACGAGGTATAAAGGATAAATAAATGAATAAGACAAGCTGGTATTTCATCTCTCAAGGGTCTTACTCTCAGGAGAAAAGGAAGACAAATCTACACACACGAGAGAAGGGGATGGTTGAGATAGATTCAGGAAAAAAGGGATGAGAGCTCCCTGTAGCTGTGTGACACTGCTGAGGTGTAAAGTGACCTTCATTAAGTATGTAGCAGTGATGGAGATCGAGTGGAGCAGGCACATGAGTAACTTAGATCCACATTACACAAACCTTTGACATTTGCAAGGTATATTGTTCACATCTTCATGATCTAGAAGAATCCTCACCTTTGTGACTATCACTATAGTGCTTCATGAAAATTGTGGCCTGTAAGACTTTAGGACACAATAACAAAAATCTCATGGAGAAATGAGTTTTGCCTGCATGCTAATTTCACTCATTAATCAAGTGACTGGCTGCTATACTCCAGGGTCACAGCACGTCTCTGCAAAATAACCAATTATTGCAGCTCATGGACCTTTGGGGGTCTCTGGGAATGACCAAAGCCACAGATATCAAATATGCAAATACTAAGATCTA